AAGGAAGGGCCTTCTCACCATGGGCTTACACAGGCACAGGGTCGAATTTTCCACTATCACAGCAGCTTCCTTGACTGGCCTCTAGACTAGTCAAATGGCTATGACATGTGCCTACTCACATGACTTGTCATGGGGCTCTGCCCCAGCTTGAAGCCGTCAAGGCTGAAGAGGCTGGCACATCTGTACTTCAGCAAAGGTCTATATACTTCATGGAAGCCTTATAGAAGCCCTTATATACCCTAAACTCCCCATCTGACCCTAAACCCTAAACCCTAAAACCCTAAACCCTAAACCCTAAAACCCTAAAGCCCTAAAGCCCTAAGCCCTATGATGCCCTAAACTCCCCCACCTGTAGTTTCCTTTATGAAGTCGGGGGCGAGGTGCTTGGGGAGCCATGGTAGGCTCCACGCAGCCCTAAGCGGGTCCCTTCAGGGCTTTAGGGTTTAAAGTTTAGGGTTTAGGGTTCAGGGTTAGGGTTCAGGGTTCAGGGTTCAGGGTTTAGGCTTTAGGGTTTAGGGTCAAAAGGGTTTCATGCAGTTTCTGTCGGGTCTTCGCAGGGATTTCGTGGAGGTTTCAGTACGGCCTGATGTTTCAGCAATGGTTTTCAGTAGTAGCATTTTTACACTCTTATTCGGGGTCTGCGTATTCAGACTGCATGGTGGGTACGCTGGCTATGAAACGTAGACTAGCTCCAGAACTCTCCGCAGATATTTTAAGCGATTAACACTTATTCGAGAAGCCTGACTCATAAACGCCGTATGTTAAATCTCAGCATTAACAAACTCAAACTCTATCTACCCGAGGGTTCGAAGGCATTCGGCGGAGGAGGCTCGAACAGTGAGGGTCTTAGATTTTATCGTGGTAGGAACAGTTTAATTGGCAGACTAGATCGTATTCCTTTATAGTACCTGTAGTACCTCTTCTGACCCTACGATATTAGACCCCCCAAACCCTATTTTAACTACTAAGGCCCCTAGACTAAGGTACCCTTCAAAGGACCCTTAGATAGCCCTAAACCCTCAACCCTAAACCCTAAACCCTTAAACAGACCGGGTCTAAAGAAAGAGAACTCTGCGCCAGGCGCTTCGTCAATTCTTGGGATTTCCACCGGCGAGGGAGGAGAAGGCGGCCGGAAGGTTAAGGAGGGTTTAGGGCTCAGGGTTTCAGGGTTTATAGGGTTTAGGGGTCTAGGGTTTAGGGGTTTGGGTTTAGGGTTTAGGGTTTAAGGCTCGTAAAGGGGAGTAGAAAGGTTGCTATAAGGACTTTCTTCATACAGGGCGGAATCGTTGTTCAAGTTGGACAATTCTTTGGGGCTCGTTCTTTGGTTTATATATATATATATATTTCTATATATATATATATAATGTAATATTTTCTATATATGTACGTATCTATGATGTGCCCCCCCAAGGCGCTGTTCTATTCCGATTCATCGTTCCCTACTTACCCTGCTTGGAGGTTCATGGGTGGTTATAGTAATAAGTGGGATTATAAGCCCCACCGACATTAGGTTATAGCCGCAGTTACCCGACTGATCACCCCCCCCCCCCCGCACTTGACTCATGAAGCTCTTTAGTCGAACCCTTAAGGGACCTTTGAAGGACATCCTGAACGGAAGCTTAAAACCCAAAAGCCCCGGAAACCCTACCGGGTTGCAGCTGTCGCCAGCATGCCTCTTGCAGATTTCGGATCCGGCTTGCCTGAGTTGGCTCAGGGGTTATACCCTAAACCCAAAAACCTAAAATCTAAACCCTATAAACCTGAAAGCATCGCCCCTGCGGCTAGCGCTGCTTCTGGGTCAGCACAGCGACTCCGCTTGCGTCTTCACAGCGGTCCACCTCCTCCCACAAGCCTTGCTCTGAGATACCCCTGCGCTGAAGGTACCTTCGACCCTGGAGTGGCTGCGACGGCCGCTGCAGCGACCGAGGCATGTGAAGAAACTAGGCTTTGATCAAGTTTATATTGCTTTACACAAGGCTTTTGAAGCGATTTGTACGGGTGTCATGAAGGTGGGCTTTATAGCGATAGCTACTAATTGGGTCGTAACCCACTGTTCGGTAGAGTTTGGGCGTACTTGGGGTCTTTCAGACGAGAGAGCTCAAGAATGAAGGCGTTGCAAGGGTTTAGGAGGGGTCGATAAGGGTCCTGTAAGGTATTCATAGGCTTTAGGCCGAGGGTTGTAAGGCTTACAGTTCCAGCGCCGAAACCCTTAGACCCAAACCCCTAAACCCTAAACCCCTGAACCCCTAAAACCCTCAACCCCTAAACCCTATAAACCTTCAAACCCTAAACCCCTAAACCCTACCGCTAGTCCTGAGTCCTCACGACAAGACTTGGCCCTTGCAGGGTCAGCCGCTGTCCGAAATTGAATGAAAGCTTAGAGGAACCTAAGCCCTAAACTCCCTAAACCCCTAAACCCTAAACCCTAAACCCTAAACCCTAAGCCCTAAACTCTTATGGTGTGTTGGAAACGTATTTTTATAGCACCCCCTTGCTGTTAGAGCCCCTCAGAGAGCTAGGGTAGTACCCAAACCTGCGATTCCAAGCCGCAATCTCGGCAAATTCTGTAAAAAGCTAATCCCTACACCCTAAACCCTAAACAACATCCACCTGATAGATAAGACTCAAGAGGAGTTTCGGCCCTGGCACGGATGTGCCGCTGTCGCCCGTGGAAGCCCCTTGACACTCCAGCTTTTATAAAGGTTGAGGTTGAGGGTTTGGTTTTCGGGTTCTTAGGGCTGGGGGCTATTAGGGCTCAGGTAGTTTGTTTCTCCACAGGAACTAGGTTCGTTTTTTGTTTATGGTGTGGTGTTTGACCCGGGATTTCCGAGACCTCCGTACCTTTGAACCTTTTAAGGCATTCTTTGAATTCCCACGCCCCATCGAACGCAGGGAGAAATTTCTTGGGTCACCTTTCATCTTTAACCACCAAACCCTAGACTCGTCTGCACTAAACCCCCAGTCCGATCCCCAGACCCTCAACTTCAGACCCTAAACCCTAAACC